GCCCACTTCTTCGGATGCACTTTGGATGGAAGTGGGCTGTAGTCCACGAAAGCTTATGCTCTAATAAATTTGTTAGTCTCTAAGGTGCCACAAGTACTCCTGTTCTTTTTGCGGATACAGACTAACACGGCTGCTACTCTGAAACCTGTAATTGTAGTGGAAAGTCTTCACCAAAATGGAATGTCTATTAAGGATTTCAGGCTACATCATGGGGTGAAAACTGATCAAAAATGGGGTTAGGGGAATAGGAAAGAAGTTCTTCTAAGTACAAATATAAACACACTATTCTTTGAGAGAGTAGGGGGATATTTCAAGAATTACTGAAGAGGCAGTGTGATGCAGTGGCCAGCACCTTAGCCTGGAAATCAGGAGATCTGAATTCTATTCATGGCTGCATGACTCTGACTAAGTCCCTTTATCTCTCTGCCTCTGTTTCCACCCTCTGTTTGTCTTGAGCTCATCAGGTCAGTGACTGTCTCTTATGTGTGTGGCAGTGCCTACCACAATGGATCTCACAAAACTGGGTGACTGGGCCACAAAATTGCAGATGAAATTCAATGTTGATAAACGTAAAGTAATGCCAATGGAAAACATAATCCCACCTATACATATACAATGATGGGCGTCTAAATTAGCTGTTACCCCTCCAGAAAGTGATCTTAGAGTCATCGTGGACAGTTCTCTGAAATCATCCACTCAATGTGCAATGACAGGCAGAAAAACTAACAGAATGTTGGGAATCATTAGGAAAAGGCTAGATAATAAGACAGAAAATATCATATTGCCTCTATATAAATTCATAGTATGCCCACATCTTGAATAGTGCGCATAGATCTACTCGCCCCATCTCAAAAAGATATATTGGAAATGGTTCAGAAAAGGGCAACAAAAATTATTAGGAATATGGAATGGCTACCATATGAGGAGAGATTAATGGGATTGGGACTTTTCATCTTGGAAAAGAGATGACTTGGTGTGTGTGTGGGGGGGTGTGATATGATTGAGGTCTATAAAATCATGACCGGGTGTGGAGAAAGTAAACAAGGAAGAGTTATTTAGTCCTTCTTGTAACACAAGAACTAGGGGGCACCAAATTAAATTAATAGACAGCAGGTTTAAAACAAACAAAATGAA